TGTGTGTGTGTGTGTGTGTGTGTGCGTGTGTGTGTGTGTGTGTGTGTGTGTGTGTGTGTGTGTGTGTGTGTGCGCGACTATACATGGTTGAGTAAACTAGAATAATGGTGCCACTGCAACCACGCCAATTGTGTGTGACAGAAAACTGATAGAGAGAATATTAAAGTCGAGGATTTATTAAAGGGCCCAGATTACCCCTAAAAGCCTTCGTAGCGAGTATGAGACTATTACGTGTGCGTTGGTGCATTTGTGTGCATTTGCGGGTGTGCGACGTTATGTGTTTAACTATTAACAGGATGACCAGCGAACCGTGATATAGTAAATAAACTGTATGGAGAAAAGAATTGGGACACCCTCTGAATGTATTCATCAGTAAGGCCGCCCCCTCCAATATCATATCAGAAGGGGTCATACGTGACAGTATATACCAGTAGTGATCATTTTGTCCTAATATACATTTACATCTTCATCCTAGGTTCAGACTGTTCCAGAAACTTCACAAGTCCCTCGGGTCTCATCGAGTCTCCGGGGTTCCCTGACAAGTACCCCCACAACCTGGAGTGCTCCTTCATCATCGTTGTGCCCCCCAGCATGGATGTGAGCCTCACTTTCCTCACCTTTGACCTGGAGAATGACCCCTTGCCTGGAGCAGAGGGGGACTGCAAATACGACTGGTTGGAAGTTTGGGACGGGCTTCCTGGAGGTGAGGCATATGCTTAGTTGGGGTTGAGAGTCATGTTAACTAACCCAGCAGCCAGCACCCTCTTTTGAAGTCTTCGAGGAGTCTCGCACATCACCAGCTGCCGTCCGTCACACAAAAGCCTCTGCAAAGGTCAAGCGATCGACAAAAGATCAATTGTATTTGGTTCTGAGTGGTATAATGTGCTACTAGTGTCATACGCTGACTCAAAGTAAGAATCTTAATCTAAATTTTCACCTAAATGTCACGGAGCCTTCCTTGGCCCATGTGCCACTCTGAAACGTTTGTGAAAATCAGTTGTGCATTTTCATGCAGTTTCATTGATCCTCCTGCTTACAGATTTGTTTTTAAAAGTGTATTCTGACACCAGGGGTTCAAATGTCAAGTTTTCCTGCTCTCTCCGGCTCACGCATACATTCTAAAAATGTTCAGATTGACTGGATACTCGAAATTGTCCACTGATGTGATTGACAGCGTCAATGGTTGTTAGCTATGTGCCCTGTGATTGAGTGGCAGCTCGTCCGGGGCATCCCCTGCCTCTCACCCAAAACCAGCTGGGATAGGAACCAGCTCACCTTCAACCCTAATGACAAGAAGCGCACTAGAAAAAGGATGGATGAATAATGTCAGAGTTAAGCCTAGCAGAGTAATGTGTTAATGATGTTCCACCCATCTCGAGTGAAGTGAAATGAAGAGTGTTTCTCCCTGCCCACATCTGTATTGATTTACTTGGAATGCCAACTATTTTAGTAGCGCTGCGTTGGTTGATAAAAGCTGAGCTTCCAGGCAAAATGTTGGCACCTGCATTGGAGAAAACGCATATGTTTTCATGGGGGGGAAATAAAGTTAAAGTTGTTGAGTGGAAGGAGAGAGAGAGAGAGAAAAAAAATAGGAGGTGAGGGGGTTAGAATGTTTTTGTTCTTGCTGCTGGAATTACTGGAAAGAGTTGAGAGGGACAAATCCTCAGCACAGTATGACTGAATATAGTTTCAAGACATGGAAGAGGAAAAAAGAGGAAAGGGGGCACAGTGGAAAGGCTAAGCAGAAGGAAAACAACAAAGGATATGTTAAGATGAATAAGTGCAGGCCAGAAGACCCCTGGTTTGCCTCCAGAAAGAGGACGGGAGAGGGAAAAAATGGGGGGATTTCAAGAGCGGCTTGTAGGATTACAAGAAGAAAAATTCCAAACTCTAATTAAAAAACAAAAAAAACATCTCCACTACTTCTGTCAGGAACTGAACCCGTCGTGACATAATTGTAGATCATTCTACTGAAAAATTTAGAATCGAGTGGAACAAGGGAGGCCTTTTATGATGGTCTACAAAAGGTGAATTTAGCGCCAGAGGCGCAAAAACAGTCAGTTGACGGAACTGCAGAAATTAAACGGGCCAGTTAAAATGACTGTAATTGCAGTTCATCTTCACTTAAAAGGGTAAACTTGCACGTGAGGGGAAAATATGACATCAGTTGTCGGGAAGATGAGACAATTGAGTGAGATAACACAAAGCTTTGGAAAGGAAAGTGAAATGAATTGGGAGGATGTTTCAAGGAAAGGAAATCCATTGGGTGAGATCAAAAGGTGAAGGACTTTTGGTTTTAGTGCTTCCAGAGGACAAGTGAGGCAGGAAAAGATAATGACAACGTGATGAAGTGAGGATGCTTGAGCTCCATAACTCACGTGTGCAAATCAGCACTAAGACACGCACCCACACACACAGTTCATTTAGATATAAATAAAATCCATACTGCACATTACAAGGACAGTCATATACTTTCAGCCGTTTGCCATAAAGCTTTAGTGTTCTTACGATAATTTCTTTTTCTTCCCCAAGTGTTTTTTCCTCTCAACGCTATCAGGAGAAGAGTTATTACTATTGTTTGCTCAAGAGGCCGATTTCAAATATCCACCCATTCCCAAAAGGGGAAAAAAAATCAATAGCACTGATCGATTGCTGGCTGTTTTCTCATCTTCTACCTCCTCCACAGGCTTCAACATGTGTGTGTGTATCTGTGTGCGAGGAGCAAACCAGCTCGTATGAATGTGCTATCCTTGCACCGAACCCTTCACACAAGTGCGCACTTGCACTCAACACATACGCACACGTGGACCCCAGGGCCCGAGATCATGCTCATCTGTTTGTGTTGACATATACAAGTTGCTGTTTCAGAGAAGACGACAGTAGATGCATCACTTGGGTCCTTGAATTTATATACAGACACACACACACACACACACACACACGCACGCATGCACGCACGCGCGCGATTAAAGTGTTCAGTGTGAAACCACGTACAGCCTACCTTGCAGGGAATGACTAATCGGAAGGGAGGTGGTGACAGGGAAAGGTGTGGCCCTGACTATATTTCAGCAGAGGACAGAATTGGAGAAGTTGGGTGGGGCGAGGAGGAGGGCGTTGTGTACAATCCAAGAAGGAAAGCATGTTGATAAATGAAAAGAGTGATTTATAGATGATGCGAATAGTAGAACTACTATAACTTTGTCAAAATGCCAATCTAATGGTTAGAATCCGGATTTTGCTTTTTATTTTGTTGTTATATTAATGCTAGTGTAATGATTAATTATGTAGTCCTTTTTGAATAGGTTGAAGAAGACCGTGCCGTTGTTTGTATATCTGAACTGTCCACCAGTATGGACGTGCATCTGCACGATAGCCACTGCACTTTCATGTGACTATTACCCCAGCCATCTGTTGACATTCATCTTCCGAGTGGTCTGTTCAAATCAGTGGTTCTTAACCTGGGTTCGATCGAACCCCAGGGGTTCGGTGAATCGGTCTCAGGGGTTCGACGGAGCCTCTGCTATGGAGGTTAAGACACACCCGACTCAACATGTCAATTAGTTATGGCCGCTTGGCAATCACTGGCTGCAGATGATCACATTACATCACTTGTCCAATCAGTGCTGCAGGATATTTAGTTCGCTCAGTAGTCAAGGTGTGACTGTCGTGATAGTATGTCGTCAAATTAAAAAAAAAAGTATACTTTTGTCTTGAAATTTTATTTACTTTTTTCTGTTTTTAATAAATGCCTTTTTATGTCTTGAATTTGTAAAAAAAAAAAAAAAAATCATATTTTTGTTTTTCACTAATGAAGGGTTCGGTGAATGTGCAGACGAACTGGTTGGGTTCGGTCCCTCTAACAAGGTTAAGAACCACTGGTTTAAATATATAAGTAGTACTTCATGACACACATCGATTTAAAAACATGTTCACACTTCCATTTGTTTTCTAAATTGTGTTTTAGAAAACAGTGGTGTTAGCTAGTGGTGTTAGCTTTCTGTGCTCAGTGAGCTGGCCAACTTCCGAGTGGTTGTGGAGCCATCCATGCTAACATTGGGTGAGAGACTACACCTTGGACCGCTTTTTCATTTGATCACAGGGCACCAGACAGGTGATTCATTCAGGCAAAGAAGCAGTTGCCGCTTCTAGCGTCATATGCCACATGATTTGAAGAAAGCTTTGAAGCCGGTTCGACGGAATTGGAGCTCAGGGTTTGACGCTCGTATCGAACCTTCAGTGTCAAACTGCCAATCACACTCCATAGGAACATTTTTCAAAGGTGTAGTTCATGTGAAATACCCAAGAGAGCTGGTGAAAGGGAATTGAATGCACTTGCGTCATTCATTTCCCTGAGAATGACTTGCATTTAATGGATTGTTGGTGCGTGAACATATACATATTCTAATTGTCAAAATTGATTGAAGCGGTTTCATTCTTTCGGCTCCCCAGTGGGCCCACTCATTGGCCGATATTGCGGGACCATGGTACCACCGGAGATCCAATCATCTACTGGGATTCTCTCTCTTTCCTTCCACACTGACATGGCTGTGGCGAAAGACGGCTTCTCGGCGCGGTACAACATGACGCACAAGGAAGTCAGTGAAAGTAAGTGGAAGAAAATCTCTTTTTGTCCTATTTTTTAAAAACTACATTCCCATCCTAAAATATTTGCTTTTCGCACAGCGTTTCATTGCAGTAATGCTTTCGGCATGGAATCCGGCAAGATCACCGATGAACAGATCACAGCTTCATCAAGTTTTTATGACGAAAACTGGCTGCCGCATCAGGCCCGACTCAACTACAACAACAACGGATGGACGCCGAATGAGGACAGCAACAGAGAGTACATACAGGTACAGTGCAAGAGCGTATGGCCGCATGAGACTCGGACAAAAGTTATTTTTGCCTTCGACAATAGCACGACAGCTGCCATATTCCTGAATTGCCGAATCCTATTCAAATCAAAATAGAAATCTCAACTGAAAAGAGATTGCATTGTTATTTTAGCAGCATATTTGTCCTTGTGCTGGCGGGTCACACATAATAACTCTCTATTGCTATATTTGTATCAGTAGGCCGGCGAGAGCGAGAGTGGGTGGTGTGGTGTTATCAAGGTTTTGCAGCTCGATGCCTCAGCAAGGCATTGTTTACTGTGTTCCATCACAGTGCCAACTTTGTGCCAGCCACTTGCCAAGCCTGAGTTATGAGCTTGTCTGGTTCATGGGGAAGCGGGCGAGGGTGGGGGGTGGTCTTGTTGCCTGACAGCAGATGGGCTTATTGGCTGAATTTTTTTTGGGGGGTGGTGGGGGGTTGGGGGGGTTGAGGTTCACACACTGCTCAGACAGAAATGGATCCACCACGGCCAATGAGGCCCTCCTTCGTAACACCCCTTCTGTAAACAATAGATTATCTTGTTGGGTGTCACCTTCGCCGAGCCTCCCAACGGCAGCCCAAGTCTGCTTTATATGAGATGATTTATAAGACCTTTATTCATTTCTAATACGTTTTCAATGACATTCCCCTCCTCTGATACCCATGTAAGCTCCCGCCAAGGTATTGTTTGACCTTTAAACTTAAAAACAACATAACAGACGTTTGCACGCAAATGTCTAGTTCCCCCTCTAGTCATTGTACCCCCATAACCTATGACCCTCTAAGCTTGAACACGGTTCATCCCGGGACACAAGCACATGGGGTGCAAACCAGTCCCACATGTGGCACTTTGAGCTTAGAAACATTTCGCAATCGACGCTTTTGCGCTGCAGCAAAAGAATATGTCGTCATGCGGCACAAGAAGGCACGCTTAGCTACGGCCGTACTTTTTTAAAACATTTTCTCCTACTTCTGGCGCAAAAGTGTATTTATTCAATTTACTATAATTATGAATTCACTATTTCTTCAGGATAGGGTATTGAAAGACTAAAGGTTCAGTTGTGATTTGTTCACAAATTGGTTCCTGCCGTTGGAAAGGAACTCTGATGTAAATTGATAACCCCCTTCCGGACCTCATATTTGTCTGCAACATGGATCTCATTCTTTCACTTTGGTTTGGTGTTTGTCTTATAATTGTGTGGTGTTTTCTAAATGACGAGATCCCGTGTGATAAACTTTGGAATAAACTGTTGTCAAAAAGTGTAGAAAGTGAAAAAAAATGAAAGCACTGAAATGAGAACACATGGCAGCAGACTTGGATTTTACAACGTGAGCGGCATTCCCCTTCCGAGGCACCAATGAACAATGGATTTGGTTATCCAGATTTTTTTTGTTCATTTTTTTTGACACATTTTGTTTGTTTTCTATCCACACTTGATATTATATCTCTGCATTCAATATGGACAAACAAATGACATTACAGGTTTTAATTCCCTCACTTGGTCGAGAAAATCCCGAGGATATCGGTGCAGCCATGCATCTCTAATTAACTGATTTCTGACAAACTAGCGGAGCATGCTTGCACTTTAATAACAAAGAAATGAATAAACAAATCACAAACATTTACTCACAATATCCCTTGATTAAAGTATCAGGGCAATAAAGCTATTCAGGCGTGCATGCCTCAGGCTCTCTGTAGTCTCATTTCAACAGATGGACTGACTTCTTTTACATCTTTAAATTTAATTTAAGAGCCAAAGGAGACGCAAGAAGCTGATGAAAGTTTTTGCTTTCATGAGATTGACCATCTTAATGACTCCAATACCATACAATGTAGCGCCTCTGCCTTCGAATGGAGCTGTGTCAAAAAAAAAAATGATGTGAACGACAAGTACCGTATTGGCCCGAATAGAAGACGGTGTTTTTTGCATTGAAATAAGACTGAAAAAGTGGGGGTCGTCTTATATTCGGGGTCTAGACATTATAGCCATTCATAACGCTAGATGGCACCAGATATCATTGAAGCGAATGCTGAACTTGACTCCCCAGGCCAAAGTGAACCCCTGTCACGAAGAATAAAAATAAAAATAGCGGTAGCACGAAGAAGAAAAATAAAAAATAGCGGTAAGAAAGAAAAGAGAAGAAAATAATAGAAGAGATAACAGAAAATGGAGAAACGTAGCGACAATCTGGAAAAAGTAGGTCGAAGATCGGCCAGGTTAACCGGCAGCTGAGGAGAAGTCATGATGTAATTTACATTTAAAAAACCAGAAGCCATTCATTTAGAATGTGATTGCACTTTAGTTTACATATTTAAATGTTCAGATATTAAGATTTGAATGAGGCAAAATAATATGCTTTTTCTCTCAAATATATTATTATAATCATTTGTTTCAGATGTACTGTAATTATTTTTTGTATAAAAATTAATTTGGTGTTCAAAAAGTCTTTTTTCAAACTTGAGTCTTGAAAAAGAGGGAGTCGTCTTATAATCAGGGCCGTCTTATATTCGGGCCAATACGGTAATAGCCTCGCCGTAACAAATGTCAGGACTCCACTGTGGCCGACTTCTTAGATATGAAACACAGGAAGGAACCGCAGCCAAAGTAGGACGTGGTCAAGGTCCCATCAGTCTGCACTTCCTTCCTCTCTCACTGCCCAAGGAGATAATGGCGCATGCTTTACTGGTCCTCTTACTGATATAGTTGTCAAAATGCAAAAGAAGAACAGACAGAAACCAATGGCAGTTGTTGACATTAGCGCTCCTTCCATGCATTCAGTGGATGTCATGGTGACGCTCATTCATTCACTGGACGCCGATGGTTTGGGACAGTTGGGTGGAAATTTAACTTTTACTGGAGGCGACCTCCCGTGTTATCGTTCTGTCTGTCTCTACTGCTGACCACTGGTTTTGTTGTGAGGCCGCCGCGTTCCACGGAGCGCCTCAGCTGTTTCCCTGTGTTAACACTCAGCGGTGTGTCGCTCTCTGTGTTTGTGTGTCGCCGCGTTGGTGTGTATGTGAGCGGGCAAACGGCTCCAGTCTTGACAAGCAGCTGTCATAAATGCCATCATGCCCGGCCAGTATGCTTGAATCTTGCACCTTGTGCGTGGGCGTGTCCTTGTGTGTCTGTGTGCATGTCCATGAATGTCTATGGTCATGTGACTCTGTGTGTGTCCATTAGTGTTTGAATCCAATTGTCCTTTTGTGTGTGGGTTTGTGTGTATGTCTCAGTGTTTGTGTGTTCATTTATGATTGTTTGTTTTTATGTCAGCGTGTGTGTGTGTGTGTGTGTGTCTGTGTGTGTGTGTGTGTGTGTGTGTGTGTGTGCGTGGCCGTGTTTTCGTGTGTGTGTCCATTGTATATGTGCATGTGTGTGTCTGTCTGTTTGGGCATTTGTTTGTTTGCGCATCTGTTTGTTTCTATTTGCGTGTGTGTCCATGTCTGTGTGTTTGTACGTTGGCGAGTGTTAGCATCATGAGCCTATCGTGTGCTTGTTTCCATGTGTGTGTCTGTGTATGTGTGTGTATGTGTGTGTGTGAATGAGAATGCAGCAAGCATGCTTTGCCACGCTAACCTGAACAAGCCCCTTTCATACCGTTTCTGCACAACCAGTGCATCATAGAGACAACATTTTCAAACGGAGCGAAATGTGTTCACATCCAATCGCGGAGTTTCTCAGCTCCCGTTCACGCAGGCATCATCCCACCACCGTTTTCGCTCGATTACTACCTCCGAAGCCGGAAAATGTGTGGGTTGATTTCAACCCCCAATCCAGTCACTTTGGTATTCATTCACACACATGGGTGGCCAAGGGAAAAAAACTTTGGCTTTCGGAGGCAGTCCAAAAGGGGCTTCTTACCCTTCCGCTCTCTTCTATCGCTCTCGCATTGTGGTCCACTGTGAAGCTTGGCGCAGATTGATGATGCGAGTGCTGGTGGCTGCGTTATTCCAACAGTTGTGTGATTGATGAGTAGTCTTTCCAGGGAAGCTTCACTTAGCATCCGTCTCTATCTCTCGGCTCGAGCTCTTATTTGGTCTTCACCTCCTTCTCTTTCTTTTTCCGCGTCTCACTCACTCCTCACCTCTTCTCACCCGCTCTTATGTGTTCTTCTCCTCAGCTCAGGACTATCGATTAGGTGTCTTGGTGGATCTCTGTCTGGGCCTAAGTGAGCAAGTGTGTGTGCGTGTGTGTGTGTGCGTGTTGTGGGAGTCATCTAAAACACCCGTCTTCCTGACAGGTAACAAACACAGCGTTTTGCCTCCCCCGGTGAGGCGTATTGTACCCTGGTGGGCCGCTCAGCATTCGCACGCATAATATACACATCACACATTCTGACTGAGCATGTGCTTCCAACATCTCCAGTGTTGTTGTTGTTGTTGTTGTATAAGATTTGTATTCAGACAGCACAGCATAGAGTTGCAGTGTCTGCCTCGCAGTCAGAGGATTTGGGTTTGAAACTCCTTTGTCTTTATCTCTTTGGGGAGTTTGTATATTCTCCGTGAGCTTGCATGGATTCTGTCTGGGTACTGTCTTGGTACTTCCTACCACAACCCCAAAGGTTCATAGTGATGTAAGACTGCACTGAGTCATACTATGAGGCGGTTCTCATATTTGGATTACGTCAATTGCAAGTGGTCCTCAGTTTATGACAGAGTTGCAGCAATGACGTATTCTGTCACTAACCTACACTTATATGATAAGTCAGAATTAGAGTACAGTCCAACCTCGGTTTTCGTCCATAATCCCTTCCAGAAGGCTGTTCGAAAACCGAATTGTTCGAAAACCGAAACCACGGTCTTTTTAAAAAAAAAAATGTTTATTGAACATGTCTGCTCACAATGGAAAGCGACACGAGGAAGCGTCATTTCCTCGTGTAAGGAAGGCCAGAGGAGTCAAGTGGTGCATTCAAGTGCGCTCAGTTTGTTCGAGAACCGAAATTTGTTCGTCATCCGTCATAAAAAACTCGAAATTTTTGGTCGAAAACCGAATTGGTCCAGAACCGAGACATTCGAAAACTGAGGTTTGACTGTATTTGTATTGAAAAATAATTTGGGCGGTAACTGAGCTTGCTTTTTATATATATATATCATACATGGCAATTTTCCGCGGATCCGCGGAAATCCGCAGTTT